GTAAGAGAATTATGTAATTCTCGATACGTCTCACTCGAAGAATACAATACCTGCGCGGTTCGTCTGGTTGCACCAGCCTCAAATGAACCGTACATACAATATCGTGCATGGAAAGAAAGCAAACTTAACAGGTACAGATATCGTTAGCAATATGCAAAATGATATGCGATATGCAAAACTATGTATAGTAATGCAGATGAAAATGCAATACAATTGAATCATAATCAAATCATGAACGGTTCAAAACCACACAAATGTCAAATAGATTGATGGAAGTAACAAGTCCGCCTACCATAGAAAAGGTGCCGCAACCCTCAAACCAACATACCAACGTGGAATAGGCGCGTACACATGTAGAACTATGAGTGATGTAGACGGACACAAGAACAAGTAATTGGGTGGAATGACATAGGTAGGGAAATGACCCGCTGTAGATAGACCAATGATCCTAATGCTGGATGCAAAAATTACACGACAATGTAATATATATAATGGATATGGCAAGCAGCCAAACCAAATCTTGCCGAGGAAAGGCATGGACACACACAAACCACGTCTAACATATGTATAGACGTAAAAAGTATGGGCACATACCAGACCAAGCTCAACATGGAAAGGCGCAAGCCCTAGATGGAAGTGATGCGGTGAATACATGCATGCTACAATGCAACATATAAAAATATGCAATGGAATGGAATATTTATAATGGATAAGGCACGCGGGCGAAACCAAATCTTGCCTAGGAAAGGTATGTACTCAAACAAACCGCATCTAACCCATAAACGGTGCCGCAACCCTCAAACCAACATACCAGCGTGGAATAGGCGCGTACACATGCAGAACTGTGCTTCGATGTGAAAGGTGTGGGCACATACCAGACCAAGCTCAACATGGAAATGCGTAAGCCATAGATGGGGGTGATGCACTCGATGCATGCAAACTACAATGCACTATTTACAAATATGCAATGGATGGGCGTAAACGCAATATTTACAGTAAGATGCATGACATATGCATTTTACAGTGGCATGCGTGACATATGCACTATTTATAATGATGCATGACATGCATGTTTACAATGATGCATGACATATGCATCATTTATAATGATGCATGACTATGCATTTTTTGTTTTGTTTTTGTTTTTTTTTGAAATGCAAATGCATGATGATGCATGATTTTGAAATGCGCGACAACACGCGGCTTTTGGGATGCATGACAATGCATGTTGATGTAAATGCATGACCACGCACGTCTTTTGATATGCATGACAATGCATGTGAAACTGAATGCGCAACCACGCGTGTCATTTGAAATACATAACAATGCAACCGAGCGGGTTTAAGGTCTTGCCAGACCATCAAATGCATGATTTCGAAATGCGCGACAATGCGCGGCTTTTGAGATGCATGACAATGTAAATGGACTGTGCACATCAATGCACTAAAGGTCTTGCACCTTCCGAGGATTTAAAGTCTCCTAGACCGTCGTATGTACAGGACGGTGTGATGCGCAAAATAGCGCGATTGAATGCATGCAAAATGCAATGAGATGCGCAAAATAGCGCGATTGAATGCATGCAAAATGCAATGAGATGCGCAAGATAGCGCGATTGAGTGCACGCAAAATGCAATGAGATGCGCAAGATAGCGCGATTAAGTGCATGCAAAATGCAATAAGATGCACAAAATAGCGCGATGCGGTGGACAACGCGAGTGCACAAGACAGTGCGATGCGCAAGATAGCGCGATGGAATGTATGCAAAATGCAATGAGATGCGCAAAATAGCGCGATTGAATGCATGCAAAATGCAATGAGATGCGCAAAATAGCGCTATGCGTTGGACAACGCGAGTGCACAGGACAGTGCAATTGATATGAAATGCACAAGACAGTGCGATTGACATGTGTATGATACTTACAAGATATGTGCGCAACAATGCGAACTAGATAACGCATAACCAGCGCGCGTTCACGACAAAGCCTCGTAATGCAATGCAAGTAAGGCAACTTTCACATCTTGTAAGGGACAAAAGGATACAAAAAAGGATACTCCTCATACATATTCGAGTGCCACGCACAGAAGACACGGCCCGAGGCCAAACGGAGGCCGATTGAGCTTCGGAAATGTCTTTTCATGTACTATCTTGAGCAATGAAGGCCCCAAACTACAGATCTGACCCAAACAAGGTTGTAGGAGGCTCACCGGCCAGAAAGGGGAGTCACCGGCTATTCATCGGCCATCAAAATACATCACCGGCCAAATATTTGGCCGACCGGCCAAAAATGTAGCCGACTAGCCAAAAATGCCTGAATCGGGGCAGTTTTGACTTTTCACCTCGGGTCTTTTAAAATAGGGTTTCAAACCCTATTTTTCTCATTTCTCTCTAGCCAAAAATGCTTCCTCCCTCTCTCTAGGACATTTTTCTTCCTTTGTTCCTTGTTTTTCTCGTGTTTTTGCGCCCGTTTCGTCGTTGGATTCGCGAAGTTCTTCACGTTTCGAACATTTTGAACCGAATATTTCTTTGTTTCGGTGCTTCCTTTGCCATTTCCACTTTTTGGGGTTTGTTCCCCTCGTTTTCCTCTCGATTCCTATACCTTTTTCACTTCCCGGCTTTTCCGGCCATTTTCCACCCTCTCGGGGGTTGACTTTTCGTTGACCTTTCACATTCCAGACTGATTTTCACTTTTCTGGCCATTTTCTCACGACCATTGACATGGCGGATGATATCCCATAGGGCGGGACTCCCCCGGATCACGAGATGGACCCCGGGGCCGAGCTCCTCCCCTTGAGCGTCCGCCCGTTTGACCCGGCGACCTACTGGCCGACGATTCACGTGCTTCCTCCTGACGGACTTCGTCAGTTCAGGAGCTTCGAGAGGGGCGTGCCTCCAGAGCTTCTCTTGCGCGAGCCTACATCTCATTTGTCCTTCGGTGCTTCCGAGGTAACATTCTTCCCTCTGCTTTACTTCCCGCAATGTAGAACACTTAGCTGCCATAACTGATTATGCTCTTTAACTGCTTAGCCCAAATGCACTGAGGCACTGTACACTGTAATCGACCATGAACACATTTGCAACTGTTATCTGTTTGAATCTGAACGCGTGCACACACACTGCACTCGCCCTGAATCACTTAAATACGCTGGCACATCAGTCACTGTAGTTCACTACGAGCACATCGGCACCCGATATCTGTTTGAATCTGGAAAATGTGCACACATGCTGTATCTGCAACAAAACATGCAAACACACTGACATATCACATGTTGTAGTTCACTACAAAGTCTGAATGCTTTTCAAAACTATACTTTAGCGCTTCTTCGCCATTGTCTGCTTGAAAACAGGGAGATTCCTATACCGTCCGGGGGTATGGGAATATTGCCGCTCGGGATTGGTATGCAGAGTTACCCGACGTGGTTCGCCACATCGTGGACCAGGCCGGCTTCGGCGCATTTTGCAGAGGGCTTTCCAGACTGACGACGAGCAGGCCTCTCCTCGCCGCTCTAGCAGAGAGGTGGTGGGATACCATCGACTCGTTCCACCTTTCTGCCATGGAAGACATGACGATGACTCCCTACGATTTCTCGATGCTCACAGGCATCGGGGTAGGGGGTGATCCCCCTTTGATACTGCCTATATCGGCATGAGTGTGGACAGCTGCTCAGATCCATCTGCTCGGCGACGGTGCCACCTCATTGCGCGTCCCGGTTTCTGTTCGATATTCCTGGTTCGAGGTCCATTTAGGGTCCAGCCAGCTTTGACCGAGGAGGCTCCGATGACTCAGGAGGCTGTGGAGAGATACGCACGCGGCTTTGTCATGTTTCTGTTTGGGACTACCATTTTCGCCGGCCGGGCGAACACTGTGCCTCTTTGCCTGCTTAGTGCACTGGTGGATGTCAGGCAGATCTTGCACTACGACTGGGGCGGCGCCGCTCTGGCCACTCTCTATGGGTACATGAGCTCAGCTTCCCGTGGCAGTGGGCAGTTGCTCGGAGGCTATTGGCGCGCTTGGGAGGTACATTTTCCTTTTTCTGCTTTACATTTCTGCTTTACATTTTCTGTACTCTGTACACTGCACACACTGTACTTTCTGTTTCATCCTGATCGTATACTGCACACACGGCACACACATATACCCTGCTTTACACTGACTGTACACTGCACACATCGTACACATATACTCTGCTTTACACTGACTGTATATTGCACACACGGCACATATATACTCTGCTTTATACTGTGTTCTGCTTTATCTGATAACCCTTCTGGTATTTGCTCTGCAGTTGTGGGTCTATGCCTACTTCCTGAGACTTGCCCCAGTGCCAGACGTAGAGACCCCTCTCGTCTTCCCATTTTCGCATCGTTTTGACGTGAGGTGTGTGCGGAGGTCGCGGGAGACATTCATCTTTTTTCGCTGCTACTTTGACACTATTACCCCCGCAGAGGTATGTTTTACTTGCGGTTCATTTAAGCTTCACTTTACATTGTATTGTCAATATCAGTAGATAACAAACTACATGTCATTTACAGATCACTTGGCAGCCTTGGGCTCCATTGCCTGCGACGATTCGAGATCGGTTTGCTGGGGCAGAGGAGACTGCACGTTTCTGGATTTTGCTGGAGGGCCCGGTCTGTCGGGCTTGGTACTTGGGTGAGCGTTTCCTATGCCAGACCCTGAGCTTGCCAGAGCAGATAGTTCCGGGTCCGCCTCCTACCCACATGAGGGACACTAAGAGGTTGACCGCCGAGGAGATGGCCGATTACACGATCGGCTGGGACGCGGAGGGCTTTAGGAGCGAGGGCGACTACAGAGAGTATGTCCAGTCCTACATTATGCGGCCTCTGAGTGGTGGCCGTCTAGCTGAGAGAGAGAGACCCGCGGTGCCGGTAGCTAGGGCAGGAGCGGGGGCTGGGGCAGGAGCATCGAGGAGGGCTCGGGTTCGCAGCAGGAGTGGAGTTCAGGGAGGGCGGGGGGCTGGTTAGCCTGCTCTGCCCACGGCGATGACATGCAGAGGGCGTGGCGGGGCGACCTACCAGATCCCTATTGCTCCCCTTCCGCCTGATCATGAGTTGGTCGGTTTCTACGACCTGCCTCCGGTATGTACTACTACATATTGCATTATGCATAGTTAGTTCATTTTATTTGATTTGATATTCCACAGAATATTGATGTTTCTTAACACTTTTGCAGGCCTCTTCTGAGTACACTCGCCAGTCCTTGGAGCTGACCGCTTCAGTGATGGGGATGCTCCAGCAGAGTCTCGACCTTCTATCCATTTATAGCATTCCAGTATGTCCTTCTGACCACAGTCTCGAACCATACATAGACTGTTTCACATACTCTGACACACAAAACGACACCTGACATACTGCCCTCACAGCATCTGATGCATTGTATTCTGTACTGATAAACTGCTGATGGCATTCACACACTGTACCCATACACTGCATTCTGCACTGATACTCTGTTCACAGTATTCATACACTGTACTCATACACTACATTCTGCATTGATACTCTGTTCACAGTATTCTGATGCATTCGCTTTTTGTACTTTTCAGCATCCCTTCCAGATCCCTGCCGTAGGAGGTGCCCCAGCTGGACCTTCTGCTCCTACCGGAGGAGATGGGAGAGTATACCCCCGCACCAAGGCGGGACGCATCCATGTCGGGAGTAGCTCACGGGTGCCAGTTCCAGACGATGACGAGTCTGAGGCGGAGACAGAGGCAGAGGCAGAGTCGTCGTCGGAGGAAACCGGAGACGGCTCGGACTCGGACTCGGACTCAGATGACAGCGCTGATGATGCTCCTGGACCTTCGTCCAAGAAGAGAACGAGGACGGACCCCTAGACCCATGGCCTTTTGTCATTGCTCCAGACTTTTGTTGTTTTTTTCTTTTCTTTTTCTTTTGTACCTTTTGCTGGTAGCTAGAGTATCTTGTACTGCCACAGACAGATTTTTATTTCCAAAACTATGTACTTAAAAAAATGATGAAATGAAACAAACTTTTTTTTTTTGAAAAAGTGTTGCATTTGTACATTTCATATATTGTACCGCATCACATCATGTTACATCTCAAACGAAATGAAATTGATCTGTTGTCTGAAAATTGAACACTTACATTGTAATAATCAGATAACGAACCAGTCAACAGCAAAAACAACCCATACCAACCACTGCACATTTTGAACACTCGGCTCATACTCTACTGGGGATTAATCTGCATACAGCTCATAACACAATGCTTGATTCATTTTGCACACAGCGGATCCTGAACAAACAGCCCATATCTGACAAGACGGACCATGAAGGTTGAATCTACTGAAGTTGAAGCACACTCAGATGCGATCTGAAACCCAGAAGCTTCAAAGAGGCCCAGGTTTTCCTGTTCATACTTATCGGGGGTGGACCCTGCAGTTGTATGAAAGAACCAAATCATGTTTTTGCACAAATGTGGAGAATGGCACAACATTCTGAGCACAAAATGATTAATTTTTGAAGATTGAAAAAGGGTTCTTCAAACCAGGGTATTGAGCCTACAACTGAACTCAGCGAGAAAGACTCAACAGCGAAGACAAAAGGGTAAACAACCTAAACACAACGAGACACACTCGGAAAAGACTTAAAACAAAGGTTGAGGTAAACAAAATAGAAGACACGACATACAGACGCGTTAACGGAGACGGGGGACCTCAGATCACGAGGAGCCAGTTTCTTTGGGTATTGTTTCCCACCCTTTTCTCATTTGTGATTCTCACATCACTCTGGCACTCAAGCTCGATTTTTCTCTCAAAACCCTTTTTGCTCACTCTTTCTCTCAACTTACACCTCTCTGTTCTTTATTCTCTCATTTTTATCCCTCTCCAGGATTTTTAATGGATGAATAGGAAGTTATGGGTTCACGCCCGACATGGTTAGCTCACGGCTGTTTCTTCTGGTGCCGGTTGGTCGATGCCCTAGGTAAAGGAAACGGAGTACCTTGATCCCTTCAGATTCGTGCTTCGCACTTGGTTCGATACCTCGTTGCTCGAAGGTTGAGAGATCTTTCAGCCCTTTAATGACAGCTTGAGTTATGCCCTTCTTGGCAAGTATGTTGGCGATGGGGGAAAGACAGGAAGCCTGACTCAACCGTGCCCCTAGTTCATCATTTTGACCATTTTTTTTTGTTTTGGTTTTCTACTAAAACAATTTTGACCAATATGAGAGTTAGATTAACACACTTGTTCAATTTTCTGATTTGAAAATTATGCAAGTCAGGCCATGAGCACTGAAAATTTTCCTTTTTGGGTCCAAGAAAATGGTCCAGTTTTGGAAAATGAAATAATTTTCGAGAAAATAGTTAAAAATTTTCAAAAACTATTTTCGCAAACGGCCGCCGCTCAATGAGCGCAGAGCTTACTTTTGAGATGCGCAACCTCGGATCGGAGGCAATGGAAAATTGCCCCTTGTTCGAAGGATGCTGCATGGCAACGGAAAGTTGCCCCTGGTTTGAACGGCGACTGATGGCAACGGAAAGTTGCCCCTTGTCTGGATAACGCCGCAGCATACTGTAGTCAGTCCTCATTAGTGATGATCGCAACTGAACTCTCAGATACAGAGAAGACGAAGATGGTCAAAACCAATATATGGACACAGTCACTTTGAAGGTGTTGGGGGCTGGACTTCGGGATGAAGTTGCCTACGTATCCCAAAGATGGGAATCAAGCCTTACGTAGTTCCGGGTAAGGTACACTCGGGTATTTTAACCTTCACCTTTTAGGCTCTAACTTTTGCCAAGGCGCCCGATGTGGGTTTTCGACCTTGCGAGCTTTTCTTTCCTTTTTCTTTCTTCCCTTTCTTTTTTCTCTCTTTCATATATTTGATTTGTTTTGTATTTTTCTCTCTTTTGTATATTTTTTTCTTCTTTTTGTATATATTTTCTTTTACTCTAACTTTTGCCTGGGTCGCCCTTCCAGGTTTTCAGCCCAGCGAGCTGCTCAAAGGGTAAAAGTGTAACAAGTCCATGCCAAATGGTTTTGGGTTTTGAAGCCATCCGTATCCAGGAGAGTGGCTGATGCATTGACTTACTGAAGGACCCATCTTTGGCTCTTTGAGCAAATCGGACATTTTTGCCCCTAGTTTGGAGGGGTGCTTATGTTCTAGCTTTACGGGCTTCTTCTGATGAAATCTGATCTTCTTGATCTGGCTTTGGCGCCTCTTGTTCGAGGGTTGCTTCCAATCTGGCCACACAGGCCTCTCTTGATGGTCGATCGTTGGACACTCCGAATTGTGGTTCAAGGCTTTAAAACAAGGGCTCGAGTCTTGAGGCTGAGAGCGATCCTAAGCTGCACAATCTCAAGAGTGATCCCAGACAGGTCTTCGCAAGACTGCGCAAAACATTTTGTTTTTGAAAGTTTTTTTTTAAAGAAGCGACAAATCGCTCGCGCTGAAGATAGTGTGGAACCAGCCTGGATCAAGCCAAGGTCCTTCTCAGTACTCACGCTGACAAGCATGATTTCAATCATTAAGGGCTTAGCATGCCTCTCTTTCTCTCAATTTGATCAAAGTTTGCAAAACCCGAGGAATTCCTTCCTCTTTGTTTTCACCGCAGTGTTCAAAAAGTTTTGAAAAACTTAGGTCAATGCAATGATTTTCAGGGCATAAGAGAACAAGTGGAATGTACTGCTGTTCCATTCAAGTCCCCTGGCACAACCAATTCAGAATAGTAGTAAGCATGGCAACATGATAGCCGCAGCTGTTTCATTCAGATTCCCTAGTTGCAACTGGCTTCACGATAGAGACAGACTCAAAAGAAAAGCAAAAGGGTAATTACAAAACAAAACGGTGTTCGAGGCAACAGCTCCACAATCACCCGACATTCTATACAAAGGGGATTGACTCGCTACAACAAGACAGACCCATAAGCAAAAGGACTGACTCAAGATAATGAGACAGACTCAAAACAAAACAAAATACTGACTCGACACCCAATTCAGAATTTACAAAACTAGTATTCGTAGGTGCTCCAAAAATGCGTGCCAGACGCACATCCAAAATACGCTGAGCGTCGCCTGCAGGTGGTTCACTTCCCGGTTACATACTCGCAGTATCCGTATCCTCAAAATCCAATAACTGGTGTTAGGTTTTATTTCTTGGCAATCCCGTTTGACAAAACTCCTTTCAGTTGTATTTCTTTTCGCACTTTTATTTCAGTGAGGCTATGAGTGTTTAGATGCGAATCCAACCCGAATTGTGCCATTCAGAGAATTTTTTGATGCTAATGCTTTCAAGATTGCCACTTCGCTGATTATGACGGGGATCGATCTGCCCGGTCAGCTCGCGGGGGTCGAGGGGGCAGCGCCCCTTGGCGGGTCCGGGGCAGCGCCACGGCGGGGGCGAGGGGGCGGGCCCCCCGAGCAAAAAGCAAAAATGCAATCGAAGTTGTTTGACCACTTAAGTGGTCATTTGTGTGCTTGAGCGGAGAAAATGATCATCTAATACTTTTATAGAGTGCCTGAACTTCTAGGAAGAAAGTTTTACTGCTCGAGCAGTGAATGTTGCGCTTGAGCAGTCAGCCTCATGTTTATTTTTCCAGTTTTTCCAGTTTTGGCCTTCCCGCTCGAGCGGGGAAAGGGACGCTCGAGCGGGGATTGGAAGCTCTCAGCATCTCTGCAGTCGCCTGCAAAAGTACTGGATAGTGTGATTTGCCGCTCGAGCGGCAAAACCGACGCTCGAGCGTGGAGCCTGTATGAAATCACAGAATTTGAAGTCTCCGCTCGAGCGGGGAAAAGGGCGCTCGAGCGGACCGCGCGATCCCAGATTTCCAGATTTGATTAAAGAGTTGGTTTTCTTCTGAAATTAGGATTGCTTTGGTTCTCTATAAATACTTGGTTTTCTCCCAAAACTAAGTGATTTTTTTAAAAATGCTCCAGATCTTCTTTTTGGTTTCTAGGGTTTATATCTGGGGATACTTTGTGATTTTTCTTTGATGTTTTGATTGAGTCTTCAACTCATGTTCTAAAGAGAGTACATCAAAGGTTGTGTTTTGTTATACAAAAGAGAGAGTTGTTCTTCGGTGGATTCTGAAGAATTCGAGCCTAAAGCTTTGGTGGATTCCGGGGTGGCTCATCGTAAAGACAATTCCGAGGTGAAGACGGGTTGGAAGAGGCACATAGAGGTTGGTTCAATTAGGCGTTGTGGATTCGCTAGGTAATTGAGAGTATACCTGTGTAATTCCTTTAAATCTTCTTAGTGGATTGTTCTTGAAATATGTATTGTTTTTAGGATTTATTTTCCCGATTTTATCTATTTTTTCCACGTTAAATCGTTGTGTCTCTTTGTCTTGATTGTTTGATTGGGATTGTTATATTCTGCTTAAAATTGATACATAATCACAAATCAACATCTAGGGAATTTCTAGATTTTTCAACTGGGTAGTAACGGACTTGGCTGAGGTGGGTGGGAGGATAACTTCGTTGTCGATCAAGTCTTGCACCTCGTGACGGAGGCGAAAACAATTGTCGGTAGCATGACCGGTTTACTGGTGGTACGCACAGTACAAGGCAGCATCATGTGTAGTACGGAGATTCTTTGGGAGAGGCCGAGGCTCCAAGGGTTTAAGATCCCCCCTTTCGGCAAGGATCTGAAGTGCCTTTGACAACGGCATATAGAGAGTGTGAAAGACCCTGCGCCCTTGGGGCAGGTACTTTGAAGGTTGAGTATCC